TAGTACGTACTACTAACTAACGTAACTACACTACTACTACTACTACTACTACTACTACTACTACGTACTACTACGTCTCGTACACGAGAGTACGTATACTACTACTACTACTACTACTACTCTCTCTCTCTCTCTCTCTCTCTCTCTCTCTCTCTCTCTCTCTCTCTCTCTCTCTCTCAAAATACTTTCAGCCTTGAGCAACAAGCTAATATTCTCAACATTCAACCATAGTATACTTTAATTCAGGGAGTTCATGAACAAGTAAAACTGTAAAAGCTTTACCACGCAAGTGAAAAACAAACTCAAAAACTAGCGGCGGTTATACTCGATCATCTGTATATAATACAAAAAATAACCATTGATTCCATTAAAAACAGATTCCATCAAAAAACAGAACTGAGAAAGAACGTCAAGCAAATTTCTGTTACATAAACAAACATACCTCCAGAAAGCTCCATTAGAGGGAACGAGCTTCTAAATGAGAGGAATAGATTTATCTGCAAGTCTACAAACTCCCAGAGCTTAGAATTATTTAAGGCCTCAGCCTGAAAAACGCTAGACTTCAAAAGAAAATAAAGATAAAACAGAGACCTCATAACATCCACAATTTTTTGTGACTTCCGTTACAAATGGATATATGCGTCTGAATGTAGAGAGAGAAAGAGAGAGGAGAGAGAGAGTGGGAAACTACAAAAAGCTCAAGAGAGAGAATGCAAAGTTCGATGAGAGAGAAAATGGCGAGAATTGGTTCAAAGGATTAAATAAACACACGTGTTTTGGAGCTCGCGTTTTCGAGAGGAGATGGGAGCCGATTGGGAAGAATGGACGGCTCGCGATGGTTCGGATAGGCCTATTGGGCGATCTTGGCCGTGGGAATTTGTTCGTGTGCAATCGTTGACGATTGGTGCTTGATGTTGTACGTGTTCGGTGGTGGTTGGCCCCTGTCCGGTTGCGCCTTCCCAGTTAAAAAGAAGAGTCGGCAACGCCATTGTAGGGCTGCCAATAGACCCGATTAGACTGGGATCCAACGTGTACATCTGACTTCGGGTTTAGTATGGTTTAATTTTTAGACGTCGGGATTGGATCTGGGTCCCGGTCCGGGTCCAAAACTTATACCCAAATACTATTCGGGTCCAGATCTAATCAACTCTCCGTTGGTTCAATTGCAACCCAGGTCAAAGGTGTGTTTGATTCGGAGTACTTTAGCACTTAGTTTGATAACAGGAAAGCTTTATAGGAAAGGCAATACCAATGTATCCACTTACCTCAGATTTAAGGTTGAAATAGATAAGGTTGAAATAGATGGGTGCGGTTTGTATAGAGCCGAGGCTCTAGACAATCAAATTAGAGCCTATTTTCAAATAGTATCGAAGAATATGGTTTCAATATTGGAACTCTTGATTAGCTGTAAAATATGTTTTTATTTTTAATTATAAAATTTCAAGCTTCAAAAATAGTATAGATCAAGCAGATCTATAAACACTTGAATAACTTAAAAATTGACGGTCAAAAAATGTGTTACAAGATGCAGTATTTCCAAAACTTGAAATCCATTTTTTCTCAAGTACATGCATCTTGATGTCGAGATGGTCAATTTGAGGATATCTGGATATCAAAACAACCTCTTCTAGTGAAATTTTTGAGGTAGGCTCTAATTTGATTGTTTAGAGCCTAGGCTCTATATAAACTTTTCCCAAAATAGATATATATGCCTGGTTTGGGTGGTTTTGTTAATTCTAGTATATATAATAGCTTGTGTTGAGCACAATGTTGTTTGGTTGGCTATTAGAAAAAGCCACTCTATATAAAGGGCAATGCTAGTTGTTTGACACAATGAAGATGAAAACCAGGTTTTGGTTGTTTGCAGTTAATGCAATTTAGCCGTTGATTGTATAAGTTGAAGATTCCATACTAATACATGGCCAATTAAAAAAAAAAACATGAAAATAAGTTATCAATAATATAACAAATAAATTAGATGGTTTTGATATTTTTTTTCGATGTTTTTATAGGTCGAATTATGATTCTCTCTCTCACACACACCTTCTCTACGTACACGACCCTCATATTACATCATATCCATAACACTGCATCGTATTACATAATAAAAAAAGTTAAATATTACATCATATCCATCGCATTGATTTTAATTTTAAGCAAATGATAATAATGAAATTAAGTGTTACATGGGTTGCCCTTCCATATCCTCTCCGAAAACTTGATCTATGAGCTCTATAAGAGGTAAAACAACTCCGAACGACTTCCCTTCAGCTTCATTAGCATATACATATCCAAATGAAAGCAGTAAACATCTGTTTTCTTGGTAGCCGCGATTTTTAGATTTGTATCTTCTAGAAATCAAACATGCTGGGAGATGGAAAATCGACCCAACAGTCAATGTAACCTTTGTAATTGGCTATGTTGTCCTTAGCTTCTTTTAAATGGCTTGTGTGAATAAATCAGGCCCACCCAAGGTTGACATTGGGCCAACTATGGAATATGCCAGAGTTATGCTATAGAATATGCCAGAGTTCATGTGTGGGTTGAACCACTACATTTCAATGGCATGTCCTGGGCTTGAGTTTGGGCCACAACAACATAGGCCCTGTTGTCTCTATATTTTCCTTTTTTTTTATTTTTCTTTTTTTTTTTCAATCAGATAGGCCCTGCCTAGCTAGGCGACTGCGAGGCTAGGCCACCTCTTCTTCAGTCCCAGTCTCGACAAGCCTAGAAGGGCCCAAGGTGGGCTTGGGCTTGGGCCAAGGCAAGCTGGGATCAGACCCGCTCGTTGGCAACCCTAGTCCCATCTTTATTCCCTAGCGGGCTCAAGCCTTGACTCGCATCAGCAGAGTCACGAGACCAATGATCCGATTTGGACTCGGATCAAGTTGGGCTTAAGTCATACAAGGAAAACTTATGCTGATATCCCATGAAAATAAAAAGTATCTCCGATATGTTAAATTCAAGTGTCTTATTTTCATTTTTCTTAATTCTTTTCCAAAAAATGCTCTCAGTTTGATCCACCCTCGTGTCTTTATCGCGTTCAGAATGGGTAGTCTCGAATCGATGTTCTTGGATGTAAAAAACACATGTTTGGAAGCAGTTCTGAACCAGTATCTTTTTTCTTCTATTGTTCCAAATTGAAGTCTTTATCGTCAGTTTAGAATTGTTAGGGTTGGATTTTTGTTTTCATGTATGAAATAGTTCAGAACCTGTTTTTTGTACATGAAAATATCAGTTGGAAAGTAGCGGTTCCATATAAGTAATAGACATCGGTTTGAATCCAAACTGGGATCATTTTGAAAAGAGAAAAAGATGGACACATTTTTTTAAATTGATTATGAGGTTTATTAAAATAAAATTTCCAAAATTTAAATAAAATGTATGAAACTCAAAATTTCAAAATTTTTAATAAGAAGTATGAAAAATTAAGAGAGGCAAGTCTTATGGTGCTCCATATAGTCTTATCAGGATCGGTCAGGTTACCGAGCTAATGAGGGGTTGCGCACAATCAAAACCGATCTAACCACTTGCCAAACAGGGTGAATTGGGCTCTAGAGAAAAGGAAGAAAAAATAGATATAATGGTTTTGACATATATTAAAAAAATTTGCCCAACTTCCTTTAGTTGGTCGAACCACTTAAACTGAACTAACCATAACTTATCAAATATCTATTTTCACCAGTTTTCAAACAAATCTACTTTTTACCTTAGACCAAATCAAGATCTATTTTCTAACCAGTTGTCCGGTCATCATACTTTGAACAACTATTAGGATTGAGAAAATTTTGTTTGGGTGGGGTTTTATTTTTGATAAGACTGATAAGAAAGAGTGGACCAAGTGAAGGTAACAACCAACGAGGAGGATGAAAAGCTTGGTATTTATTTGCCTTGCAAAACAAGTGTCACGTGAAACATTATAGAAACGAAAAACAATCCACGAAAACAAGAAAGAATAAACAAACACAAAAGAAAGAGACAACTAACCACAACACAAAGATATACGTGGTTCGGCAATGTGCCTACGTCCACAGGAGATGAGAGCTTTTTTACTGAAAATGGAAAATAGGGTTACAATAGCTTTCTTCCTCACACCTCTTTCTTCTCTCTGATTATAAAGCAATCTGCGTTTTTCCCTTAACCCTAAAAAGAACCCACATCGCTACAATATATATAGATTCTCGTACAACTTACCAAAATACCCATGTACAGATATATATCGAGTCCCAGATAGATAGTACAAATTCTCGAAATACCCTTGTATGGATATTCAAAATTTTCCTTAACAGCTACCGCCCCCGAATCCCCGCAGGGGCAGGGTCTACCTGTGCCAGACACTCCTCCGGGCCTCAAGCCCTTTGGGCCTTCGGCTCTCCGGGCTTTTAACGGCCCTCCGGAGTTGTCCCTTTGACTCTGTATTGACATATCTATTTCTTCATAATACAAGACATCAATCCTCAATAATCTCCACCTTGGCTTGAATTCTGTCGAGTCACCCTAAAAATGTCTTCATCCCCGTACCTCCATAAAGGTACGCGACTGCACGCCCACCTGCCATGGGGTGATTCCCTCACTCTCAACAATGAGTGACATTAAGCAAGTCCAAGCAAAGCTTGAACTTCTTCTTAGTGACCGGCTTTGTAAGTCTATCTGCAGGGTTGTCATTTGTATGAATTTTCTTCAAGTGAATGATTTCTTATGACACAAGCTCCCTGATCTTGTGATATCTCACATCAATGTGTTTTGTCCGTGTATAAAACACTTGATTCTTTGCAAGATTTATGGCACTCTGACTATCACAATGTAGCACAGTACCTTCTTGCTCCACCCCCAACTCACGAGTCAAACCAGTCGACTAGATCGCTCCTTTACAGCCTCAACTGCTGCCATGTACTCTGCCTGTATCATAGACAAGGCAGTCGTGAGTTGAAGCATTGCCTTCCACGAAATAGGTCCACCTGCTAGTGTGAAGACATACCCTATAGTAGATCTTCGGTTGTCCAAATCACCAATATAGTCGGAATCGATACATCCCACAAGTTCTGTAGAGATTCTCTTTTTGCTTAACATGATTCTGAGATCAGACATCCCGCTCAGATATCTGAAATCCACTTGATTACATTCTAATGCTCCCTGTTATGATTACTCATGTATCGACTAACAATATTGACAGCATGAGTTAAATCCAGCCTGTTACAAACCATAATATATATGAGGCTTCCGACTACGCTAGCATAGGGTACCAGAGACATCTGATCTATCCCCTCATCTGTAGTGGGATACCGTCGTTCAGATAAACTTGACATGACTCGCCAATAGAGTGCTAACTGACTTTGACTTTTTTATGTTGAAACGCTCCAACATCTTTTCAACATACCTTTTCTAAGTCACCTAGAGTTTACCTGCACTTCTATCTTTATGAATCTCCATACCAAGGATCCTATTAGCAGCCCCCAGATCTTTCATATCAAACTCAAAACTTAACATGGACTTGAGAGAAGTTATGTCATGCATTATTTGCAGTGATGAACATGTCATCAACATAAAGCATCAAGAGAATAAGGGAATTATCATCAAGAACTTTAAAATAAACACAACAATCATACTCACTGTTTGAATAACCAATCCATACCATGAAAGAGTTGAAGCGCTTGTACCACTGCTTGGGAGATTGCTTAAGACCATAGAGCGATCTCTTGAGCAAGCAAACT